GGGCGAAAAAGCAAAACAGTTTTTTTTTTAAATAATCAAAACTGTTTCATAATAACACCAACGCCTCTAGTTAGATATCTCCGTCAATTCAAGCATCCGATGTATATACGCACTAACACTTAAAAATATCATCTTCTATGTGTTTCCCACGCATGCGATTGATCGACTAGTTCTCCAAATTTTTTACCAATTCATCAAAAAAAATGCAATAAATAATCCAAAATCAATGCAAAGAACTAAACTTCCGATCCAACAGCGACCATAAAAGATGTTAGGGCCTAATATGTATGTATTTAAGATTTCAGGACGAATATCTTAATAACCTAATTATATAAGCATGCACACTTTGTCACCTATTCTCTTCACTTTTCTCCTCGCTCATTCTCCACCAATTTTATTGTCACATTCGGAGAGAAATAGAATTCATGTCGGTGAGGCCTTCTCTTCCTCTATCCCTTGATCTCATATTTTTTAAAATTAGTTTCTTTAATTCTTTTTAATAATTTCTTGGATCTATTTCATGCTTCATTCGGTGAAGTGTCTTGTTAGATTCAATTTAAATTTACTTTTATTTGAATTATTACTTTTCTCTATTTATGAGTCAATTAATCACCAGAATGTTTAGGTCTTTTCACCCATTTCATATCTTGAATTAATAGTTTATTTTAGGAGAATTTTTAAAAAGACCACTATTTAAAATATTAGCAAAATCGGCTGTTTTACATAATAATTAACAAAATTAACATTTTTTTGCCACATTATCAAGATTGGCAAAAAAGAGATCGATTTTACAAAAAATCATCTTTAAAATAAACGGGACTAATAGTCTCGTGTAATTAGCAAACGTTAATTACAAAAGTAATTAAGGACAGAAAATATATGCGACTACCACTCTTACATATTTTGCAGTGAGAACTAGAAAATACACGAGACTATTGTATATATCTTATATACAATACAATTGCCCCATGCAAGTGAGTTATAATAGTATTTTTTATTTCATATCATTTTGAGGCAAGATTTGATAGGGGCCTTGCATCGAAGAATTTTTTTTATATTTAGATCACATAGCGAAATATATTATAATCTCCCTGCTTTAATTTCGTAAGAAAATAATTCTTCATGCTTTCAGTTTTACTTCTATGGTACGGAGAATGAGCTATAAAATTAAATAAGAATATTAGATAATATAAATATGAGTAAAACAACAACTAAAAGTTAATATGAATATGAGTTAAACCACAACTAAAAGTTTAATGGACATATTGCAAGTAAATTCATATGCAAAATTTCTTTGCGAATTGAATGAACACCCATCTTTTAAAGATTTTAAGATACTAATAAACATAGATGTTGTATTAGATCAATGTGTTTATAACTCACAAATAGTAGATCACGTGGCAATAGTCTGCGTTGAAGGAAACAATGATAATATTTTATTTGAAAGAGAGATTATTGAGTTGATGATCAATCATGCAAAAAACTTTTTTTTATTCTATTTTTATCAATTTAAATAATCATGATATTCAACAACGTGCATTGCACGTGCATCTCAACTAGTGTGTGTGTGTACATATATAAAGCTCTTATAAAACAATCTATTTTGCTAATTATTATGTAAAACAATCAATTTTGCTAATATTTTAAATAGTAAAGCTCTTGTAAACTTAAGTTGTTGGATATACCAAAAAGTGGACTGAATTGGAAAAAATTTCACGTGTATGGCTTCACGGGGACCGCTTCGATTTGACCATGGTTCTTCTTGCACCTCCATATTATCTAGGGCAAATAAAAGATGAACAAGCTTCATCTTAGGTCAACATAAAGGGGAAAAACTTCAACAAATAATCTTTCAGATTGCTTCACTCTCGTGAGCACTTCCATTTGTGTCTTTCCTTACGCCATGCTATCTTCTCTTGCCATCATCGTGATTGTCCTCTACCCTCCATTGCGAGTGCTTTGAAAGGTCACAATAGTTAGTTCAACCAAAAAGAACTTAAATCAACTTTTCTATTCTTTTTCATACATAAAAAATTACCATGAACTTGAAATTTACATGGATAAAAAGGAATTTCACCCAAAAATTAATTGATTAGCTTAGATTAAGCCTTTTTTCCTCTTTTTGCTCCTTTTTACTGTAGAAATTATGAAGGGAAAGACACGAGGCTTTTTTTTTGTTCGACGCCAGACGAAAAAAATGTGGAGGAGAAGAAAGAGCACTATATATATATATAATATATATATATATATATATTATATTAATAGTATAATATATATTAGTTATATATATAGAGCCAAAACTTCTGTCAACTTAAGTGACGTGCACTAAGTTTCTTATCATGATGGATCACTGATTGGGCTACATTATGGCATGATCCCGTCTCGTTCAACTTGATATCTACATATCTAAAACCCCAACAACCAAAATTTGGTTAGTGAATCGTTGTGCGTTTGACCTCCGTCGACTCGTATCAATTTTAACGTTTCGAGTGAAATAGAACTTTTTACATGGGACGGGCCTCGACGGGAGGCGTCAAAACCACAACGAGTTCACACCAAATTTTGGCGATGTGTTTGGGGTTTAGCAATATGTAGATCAAGTTTAACGAGGATTCATCACAATGTATCTCAATCAAGATAATTCATCAAGGATAAGAAACTTAGTGGACTGTCCACTTAAGTTGACAGAAGTTTGCTATATATATATATACTATATATTGATATATATCGTATAATATATATTATTATATATAATATATATATATTATATATATATATACTATATTGTACGCACACACAACACACACCCGCATTATATATAATATATATATTTATATATATAATATATATATATTATATATTTGATTATATATATATAATATATATATATTACCTATATATATATATAAAGAAGAGAGAGCAAAAAAAAACTTATGTCAACTTAAGTGGCGACGTCAACACTAAGTCTTCTTGTTCATTGATATCATTGATTGAGCTCGTACATTAATAGACATGATCTGCTTCCGTTTAATTGATCTACATATTTCTAAAATCCTAAACACATCAAATTGGGATGAACCCGTCGTTGGGTTTGACCCTCCGTCGCAGACCATGTAAAAAGTTCCATATCATTTGAAACGTTAAAATTGATCACGAGTGGATAGAAGGGTCAAACCAACGACGGCTGTTTCATCCCAAATCTTGGTGTGTTTTGGGTTTTAGAATAGGTAGATCAACTGTTTCAATAGACAGATCATCCACAATGTAGAGTTCAATCAAGTGATTATCAGCATGTATAAGAAACTTAGTGGACGTCCACTTAAGTTCGACATAAGTTTTTCTATATATATATAGTATATAATAATATATACATATACAATATTATAATACTATATATTATATATATACATGATTATATATATAATATATATATGTGTCTGTGTGTGTGCTGGTGCTGTCTGTGTGAGATGTGGAGTGTGTTTTGTGTGTGTGTGTGTGTGTTTTTGTGTGTGTGCGTACAACACATCACACACTTTACCACATACATATATTATAATATATATATATATATTATATATATATATAATATATATATATATATATATATATATATATATATATATATATTATATATGCGCGCGGCTCGCGTACAACACACCCACCACCTAACACATACATAGATACATATGCATACATATATATTTTCTTCCTACTTACTCAATTGATATCCTGAAAGCAAAAAAGCAACTGATTTCCAAAACTCTTACGAATTTTCTCAGGATACTTTGCATGAAGGCAGGATGGTTTGAGCCATTTATTTGAAGATTTTTAATTAGTCTCTCATGCTTCAAAATATTAGGCTTATATATAGGATGTTTCGATAACATTTAATTATAGAGTTAATTTCACAAAACCCTAGTGAACTTTGGGGGGTGTTGCACATAACCCCTCTAACTTTCTTTATCTCACTTAGCCCCCTGAAATATTTGGCATCTCACAAAACCCCCTTCATCTAACCCCTCAGCTGTAATTTGTAAATAACTAAGCTTCGTTTGGATACTATAGTGTTTTTCTTGTTTCCATTGTGTTTTGACAAACAATAAAACACCATGTGTTTGAAAACCATGATGTTTTTTGAGCTAAATCATCCTCAAACTAAAAACATAACACTTATTTCAAAACACTTTTTAGGTATTTTGGGTGTGGTTTTTTGGTTTTGAGTTTGAAGGTTTTAATATAACATCTAACATAATATATTAAATGTAATTAATATATAGTTATTATCAACATGCTTACTACATTATATTATATTATACTATATTATTGTTAATCTAATATATTAATAATATTTATTAAATAATATAAAATATATTAATAATTAAAATATATTATATGATAATATAATAACATATTAATACTAATATATAATTTGTTGATAATAAATTACATAATAATACAGTTAAAGTAATACAATAATAAATAACAATATATTATATACCATGTATTATATAGTAAATGTAATCTAATATATAAAATATTTGTATCTTATATGATAAATAATATAATATATTATAATGTAAAATAAATTATTGCTAACAAATGTTAATATAATAATAATATATTTATAGTATAATAATATTTATTTATATCATACATTATTAATATATTATTAAAGTAATTATTATTAAACTTTTATTAGAAACTATAATATATTATATAATGAAAAAATATGTAACATATATTAATTTATTAATAATATACTAGCGACAAAATAAAATAATATCAAT